CGCTTTCAACTCGAGGACCAGAAAAGCTAGAAGGTTGAGACTTTGGGAGTATGTGCCCATATCGTGCGCGACCCTCCCGTTTTAATATCATCCCCTGCGGACGCCTGGGTACCGCATGCAAATACTTTAAAAAAATATCCAAATTTTTTGGCGGGAAAGCGATCTCGGGAACCACATGAGCTAGGGGGCTGACTTTATAGGGATATTCGCTGTGCACGTACTAGCTAAAAATTTCCAACTCAGTCTCCAGGTATGCGTGGTACTGACGTAAGGGCGTATGAAAGTTTTAGAGGGAAATTGCTAACTCGGGTACCAGGAAAGGTGAAGCTGAAATTTTGGAGGGATGTTCCGTATCCAAGTACAACTCAAATATTTCAAATTCAGCCTCAAGCTAAGCATGGTACTCACTTAAGGGCGTATGAAAGTTTCTGCAAGAAAATTACTAACTCGGTAACCAGAAAAGCTGGAAAGCGAAATTTTGAGAGAATGTTCCTTGTTTAAGTACAACTTAAGTATTTCACGATCAGCCTTGAGGTATGCGTGATTCTTAAGTACGGACACTTAAAAGACTCACTGAACAACTAGGTTACTTTTAAAGAACGACTGTTAAATGGAAATTATACATTCACTTTGCAAAAGTTATGGTGATTTATGCTAGCGGCCGCAAAAGGTAGTTGTAAAGCAACAACCATTCATGTAGTTAATGACCTGAGTACTTCAAGTTCGGTGCAAAAACAAATAATCGCACGGGCCCGTCCGGTACGTTCCAAATTGGGCTGCATTTACAAATAAGCAAAAAACGCATAAAAAAGGACATTCTATCGTACAAGATTGAATGCTCCCTGCTTTATGGCAGTTCTGGAATTGTTAAAGTTAAAGTCAACCCAGCATGGGATGTACCAGGCTTGTCGGTGCGATCATGCGTTTCTGCATGGAACTTGAAGTAATCAGCCGTTAACTGTATGAATAGTTGTTGCTTTACATCTACTTTTTGCGCTCACTAGCGTAAATCATCATAAATTTTGCGTAAAAGAAAATGAATATTTCCGTTTGACGGCCGTTCTTTGAAAATGACCTAGCTGTTCAGTGAGCAATTTTCCCGCTAAAACTTTTAAATGCCCTTGTATGAGAATCACGCATAGCTGAAAACTGAATTTGAAATCTTTATGTTATACTTGGGCAGAGAACATCCCCATGAAATTTCAGCTTTCTAGCTTTTCTGATCCCCGAATTGAAGGCTTTCACATGTTCGTACGTGAAGACCGCGCATACCTGGACGCTGAATTTAAAATATTTAAGTTGTACGTGGACGGGGAATAAAGCCTAAAATTTCAGCTTCCCAGCCTTTCTGGTTCCCGAGTCAGCAATTTTCCCTCCGAAATTTCCACATGCCCGCATGTGAAAATTACGTACACCTCAGGGTTGAGTTAGGAATTCTTAGCTCACACATGCACAGAGAATATCCCTACAAAGTTTCAGCTCTCTTCCTTGTCTGATTCCTGAGATCGCTTTCCCGCCAGAAAATTGCATATTTTTTTGAGGCATCCATACGTGGGACCCAGGCGTACGCGAATGATAATATTAAACCGACAGGGTCGCACGGGGGGTGGGCACATACTCCCGATTTTTCAGTTTTATAGCTTTTCTAATTCTCGAGTTGAAAGTGGGTGACAGAAAGTGGGAAAACATAGACACATACGTACGCAAAGACAGCCTCTTTTTGCATCTGCATACATGCAAAAACGCATAAAATCTATTTGCCACAAAAAGCATAAACTGCAGAGCGATAGCAAATGTCAGCAGCAGCTACTCGGCAGATGCAAAAACGCATAAAATCTATTTGCCACAAAGAGCATAAACTGCAGAGCGATAGCAAATGTCAGCAGCAGCTACTCGCTAGCAAGACTATCTATGGTTCTCTTTTTTCAATCTAAGAAACAAGCTGCGATTGAGATCTTGAACTGTTTGCTTGTGAAATGAGTTTTAGCCTGAATTTTTGACTTTGGGAGTAGGATCATGCTGCTGCTTGGAAAGTCGAAACACATTTGAGGGATTTCTCGTTTTTCCTCCGTTTCGAGTAGCTGATTTTTGCTGATGACGGATTGTAAACACTTTGACTCCTCGACCGTTTCACAGTAAGTGTGCCCTATCCTGTATAGAATTGGACGGGGTGTGGCGGTGAGGCTCTTCAAAAACATCGAATATGAGAATGAATGAAATTCGGCGAAAAAAAAAGCGAGACGAGCCATCCATAAAAATCTCAGAAATATTGCTAAGGCACAGAATCCCATTTTCTCTTCGAAAAAAAGTGGTTTTAGATTGAAGCGGTTATCGCTGGTGGTGGTAATGTCTTAGTGCACTGCGTAGCAGGGGTATCCCGTTCTGCCACAATTTGCCTCGCATTTCTCACCAAATTCCGGTGCAGTTCACTCAGACAGGCTTACCAATTGATGGCAAGCAAACGACCACTTGTGAGGCCCAACATTGGCTTCTGGCGACAGCTTATCGCTTTCGAACAGGTATTTTTTAGGTGATGAAAAATATTTGCTTAAAAACAGAAATCTAAAATAAAGATGATGTCGAAGTTAAAGTCAGAATCTGTTCCGTAGTCACGCCAAACGAGTGGGGGAGGCATTCAAAAGTAACTAAGTTGGTAGCGAGTGTTAAACAGTGCACCGTACCCAATACTACTGCGCAGATATTACTTGTCATTTGAAATACCGAGTGTCTTAAACGGAATGAAGAGAGAGAAAAGACGCAGTCCTTTTGGACTGGGAGCTGCCAGAATGCTATTATGACAGGAAGGAAGTACGTAAATAAATCATGAAAGCAAAACCTGAAGAAAGGGCAGAGATTAGCCGACGCGTGTAAGATGCATCTTCGGAAAAACGAAACCTAACTGAAGTGAGCAGGAGTGAAAGTTATGCTGGATTTTGTCGTAAAACAAATTAATCAGGGTGGTGTATTCAGAATGGCGTAAATCACCAGCAGAGGAGAAATGCAGA